CAGCGTAGGCTCTACACAGCCCAGCAATGATCACTCCTTTCAGCAGCATGGGTTCTTTGATCCCTGTTGGCCTTGCCATATAATGAAGTCAGCTGCCTGATGGATGTGCTAGGCAGCCCATGTGTGAGGAAAGAGATGTCCCCCTTGAGGCCAGATAAGATGTACAGTCATGTGAGAAGAACGGAGAGGGCATTCTCAAGGCACCTCTCCTGCAGATAATATCATGCTTCTTGTCTTGTGCTCACTTATGCTACTTGAGGGATGCTCATCAAAGCGGGTGAACAAGTTCAGGGTATGAGAAAGTACAGGAGAGGTTCTTACTTCCTTGAGGAGGCAGTTTGGTCCTGCAAAGCATCCAGCATCCAGGAACCTTCAAAGCTCCCAGGCAGTCTGTGTACATTTACATGATCCCATTTTCATGAGCAGCTGACCCCCACAGAGTTTAACTCTTTGCAGGGCTCAGACTTGTTGGTTAAATCACTTGTAAGAAGTCTTATCTCGTTGGAAATCCTTAAACAGGCAAATACACAACTTAAAGGCCTGCAGATTTCTTATAAGAATACACCATTTGGCCAATTTTTCTGTCCACTTCAGTCTGCTGTCTAGTTTGTGAATATCACTGCTTTATACTTCTGTTAGAAATAAGGAAGAGGAAAATAAGAAGCAAAAGAAAAACAGACCTCTGGAAACAATAGGACTGAAATGAAGACAAGAAAGATGACAAGAGGAGAAGCTCTGGTCCATCAAAACATTCAGTGCATGTGGCTAACTTTGTACAAGAAGTCCTTAGGGCATTGGACAATTTTTTGTAATGGACACTTCACCAAGTGCTTGGCTTAATTGTGTCTGTGAAAAGAGATGGAGAAAGCAGAAGAAAATGTAAATCCAATGTATATGACCAAAATACAGTGCTGCTTTCTTCTTGCCAGACTAGAAGCTGGCTTTGTTTCTAGTGACTGGCACATAGCATACATTTTTCCTTTCACTAGAAAAAAAGTTAGGTTTAAGGTTGGAATTTTTTTTTTTAATTTCCTTGGGGGGAAAACCACAACAACAACAGTGTGGGCTTGAATTACAGTTGGTGAACTCAAATCATTCCTGCAGCCCCTAAAATAGTTGGAAAGGTCAATGAAACCGCAAACTCCATGGGGCTCATCCATTTCTTAACACAGCTTTCTTGAGCCAGTCAAACTGCCCCATTGCTTACCAAAGTGATATTTATCTAATTTGTTACTAGCAAATGCTTGCGGGGAGAAAAAAAAAAAAAAAAAGCCCCAAACCCAGACCAAGAGCAGCAAAAACCTCTGGAGCCCTTTGCCAGCATCAGCAAACTAGTGTCCATTTGCTCCCATCATGGCAATATCAGAAAGAACAAAGCCTTTCTGGGTCAAACTCTGCTCTCATTTTCACTGGCATAAACCATGCCTCTAAAGCTGAGGGAATTGTTGGCTGACCAACTGACCCGGTGGACTTCATGCAGAATTCAGGTCTCCTTGACCTGATCAGAGCAGAGGAAATTGTCCCAGGCACACCGCTAAGACATACCAACCGATTGTTTAACCATATTGAGAAATAGCAAAATAGGCTTCCCTATCATTTTTCACCTAGCTCAGATTTGATCAGAGATATAAAATAAAGGAAGACATGAACACCCATTCTGGCTAAATTTCCAAAATGTCATTCACACAATGTTTACCTCCGGAAAAACGATCCTGCCGCTATCTTTGTACTTTATCTGTGGCTCTCTGTCTCTTTGCATACTTACACTCACCATCGCAGCTTCCAACCATTCTCCTCTAATTAATCAAAAACTCTATCCCTTTGTTTCCTAGGTCACGAAAGAAGAACAGTAAATTATATAAAGATATCTGCTGAGCATGGAAACTGGATTTCTACCCAAGGAACCTAATAATAGCACCATGATTCAGGCAAAGTCAAAACTGATATGGTTTTATACACACAGAGGCAAAGTTGAGTGTGAAGAAAGTAAACATCAGATAGCATACAAACAGCAGATTATCCAGCTCAGTCTGTGTTTGTAAATATAGAAGTGTGTTGTGGTAGCTAAATTTATCCTAATGTAAGGAAACATGAACAAAGAGGCTGGTATTTGGTAACTTCTATAGGCAACATTAGGACATCCTGCGTCAATTATTTTGGGGCAGTTCATGATAACATGATACAGATTAGAGTTGCCATTTCTGGAAATATTAGGTCAGAATTATGTAGATAAGATGGAAAGAATTTCAGTAGCATTGTAGTATTTTCCTGACCTGAAGCCTGACTCACATGTTGAAGCTTTGTTTTATTGTATATGTTGTTTTGATATATAGTCAAAACAGCCTTTATCCAGAGAAAGTAAAAATAAACCAGCTGAGAAGAAAGAATTACACACAGCACTGAATAAAAATAAGTACAGCAAGCTTAATTTTGGAGAGAAATAGTTGTCTTTTCCTGTGAAACTTTTCGCAATTTCAGAAATGGCCATGCTGCACCCAGAAAAATCAGAGGAGGGAGATACAGGCGAGGGAATGGGGCCTTTCCTTGCTCTTGATCCAAGCTGGAATTTCAGCCATACATCAGGTGTATTTATGGACCAATAGAGTATGTCCAGGCTGGAAAGTCATGGCCGCCTTCTCTATATGCTTTCCTTTGACCTTCTCAGATTTCATCCTGGATTAGAAGAATCTCTCACTTAAAATGTGATAGAACATGTCCATGAAAAGTATACTTTTTAATAGAAGAAGTGAGATTAGTTCTAGGTGGAAGAATGAGAGCCCTGACTCTGCAGCCTTGCCTCTGCAGTCAGCACAATGTTTCCATTGGCATCAGGTAGAATATTTTTTTGCTCAGGTCGTTTATTATAAGTAAGAATGTACTTTTACACTGCTCTGTGTTCAGTGCCATAAATCCCAGCACATACCATGCCTCTCTATTTTCACTAGGGGTTCTGGCCTGAGTTACTGAACCTCTTTCTGCCATGGAGCTTGCTTTGAGAAGGAGCAAACCTCTGGGACAGACCCTGGTACTTGTATGTGAGCCAGTCCTAAGATAAAATGCTTCATGTTCCCTTTTGCTTATTCAGTGAGACAAACAGACTGTTAAATTCTGGTTTTCGGTCCAGCTCATTAATGCAAACCAGGGTAAGCTGCAGTTTATGCTCCTATGCCAGAAGGTAAATAGCACGGGGTCAGGGGCAGGAGCTCATCCCCTTCTGTCCCTGCTGCACTGCCTCCTGGAGCAGGCTGGGCAGCCCAAAATGGCTTCAGCTGCTCTTCCCAAAGCCTTCAAACTCCTGCCGTCAGGGCATCTCACCCTGCTTGTGCTCTTTGTGCTGCCACTCAGGCTCAGTGGTGTGCAGGGCTACCTTACACAGCTCTGGGGACCATGCCTTCCCCCAAAGGCCAGTGCGTGACCATCACTACACAAAGTGGCAGCATGAGCAAGCAGCAAGGTCAGTTTAGGGGGAAGGAAAGGAGGATGAAAGCCAGCTTTTGCATACAGGCATGAGCAGAGTAAACCCTGGAAGGAACAGGTTTCTTTTTAGCATGGTCTCTCACGAATCCTTAAGCAGCTGGTCAGGAATTTGGCTACTAAAGCCCACCCACAGCACCATTTAGCCTGATCACCTTCAAAATCCAGATAGTCAGCCTCAATAACAGCACAAGCACTGCTGCGGCACTCCTCCTGCTCTCTCCTGGGAGAGAAAACAGGAGCAACTGGGACAGGGATGCCAATGAGCGGGCCCTTCCCTAGCAGGGGCACCCCACACCCTCGCTCCCCTGGCGCTTTGGCTGGGAGAGATGCAGTGCCTCAATGACTTGCTTGTTTATTTTACCTGCCAAAGGCAACTACCAGTAAGGAAAGAAATGGAAAACCAGTGCGTGTTAGTGAGGTCTCTTCACACCTGACAGAGGTCACTGATCCGTGTGCATCCCAAGCAGTTAGGGCAGATGATGCAGAGATCAAATGGTGGCTCCAGGGGCTGCATCCTGCCCTGCAGAATCACAGGGGCTCCCTATTCCTTCCTGCTGCCTGGCCAGGCTCTCCTGTTGGATTCTGGCTGCCAGCACTGCCATCTCTCACCTGAATTACTGCCCTAAAACATAGCAGAACAGTGTGAACGAAATGTGATATAGGCTTTTTTTTTTTTTAAGTCTCCTGATGTTTGGGTGTGAAAAAGGCTGCAAACAAATTAATATTGACAAGAAATCCAGGTCAGCTTCAGAAATTTTTAATGGTGACTGTTGTCAGTGTTTGTAAGTCTCACACACTTTTTATGGCATTTGTTCGTGAAAGTCTATTTTTAAAAACAAACCCCAAACACTCAGTTTTATCCATGGACTAACTCTTTTGCTTCCCCCTGCCCCCCTCCCCCCCGCTATGGGATCAGAGATGATTAAATCCCTTTATTTGCTTTAAGCAGCTTTCCAGCTATAACCACTTCAGGCTAATGCTTGGAGACATGCAAGGTTTGTCTATTGCTCTGGCTCTTCCCAGGTCTTGGGCCAGGCTCCATTGAGGTGTTCATCTTTAACATGCATAGGCTGGACTGAGACTTTTAGGATAGCATGGTAATAACTAATATAACAATGCTTTGTTCAATATAGCCCACAAAGCATCCAGCGTACACATTTTCTCCTCTTGTTTCATATATATCCAACCCCTTATTGGCCTTTTTTTAATTGTACAGTAAATCCAACATTAGAATTTGTACTACTGGATGAAAAAGAGATCAGCTATGTAAGAATGCTGCTCCAGGATAAATTCATTTGGCCAAATCAAGTTTTGTCGTGAAGTTTTGACGAGCAAGCTTGAAGCTAGAACAAGTATTATCTGTTGTCTCATACTTGGCACAAACCTGCATGTTGTGATCTGTCTAGATGAGACAGAAAAGCAATCATACTTCATCTAGGTCAGCTTTGTATATGGGGCAACCTACCACCAGGATTATGGAGACATAGCCCATGGAAAAGCAGGATATATTAAAAACAAGCCCATACAGTAATTAAAAATATTTATTTCTGAAGATATTTACCTTGATAGGCATAAAGCATTTCCCAATTTCATACAGAAATACATAAAACATGCATAGACCAATATGGCCTACTTCAATGTGTATTCAACATGGTAAATATAAGGAAGAACTTGTGTGAATATAAATACAAAACAAACAAAAAAAAGCATGTAAGATTCAACCTGTCAGCAAATTCAACAATGTGAACAAATTCACTGCTATAAACATTCACCCAATATTAGCCTTTTGACATAATTCAAAACAACCCTTTGTCTCAACGAATTTCCACCAAACAAGGCACCAAATAAGTCTTACAACAGCCGCTTGTACATCCCCACTTCAGTGCATTTTTGGTGGCATGTAAGACACAACAACCTCTATTATTAGAACTTCAGTTAGCCAAATATCCTTGTTATGGGAAACCTAGTAATGTCCTCTTAACTTTTATCTTATGCTGAAGAGTCCTTTGGTATTCAAAACCAAAGGACTTTGACTATGCAAACAAACCACAGTGTCTAACCCACATTCAGATAACTCTGGTTGTACAAGTAAACTAGACTTCTGAAAATAGGCAAAGGGTTGCAGCTGATTAGTAAAGGCAATAACAAGGTGTAAAAATACTCTAGCAGGAGTGCAACAGTACGCGAGGTAGACATGTATATATGCAATAAGTCCTGATTAAATTAGCTCTGTGGCTTTCATTTTTGTATTTTAATCAAAAGGCAAAGTTTTTTTGCTTTGAAGTTTGTCCACTAAAATCTTGCTTTCTGTCCTTTCTAAGCACACCTCTGAGGTCTTCCTTGCAAGATGCTTTTGATGTAGACCCTGAAAGCTGCTCAATTGATGGGTAACGTTCCAGAAGTAATATTCAAATGTTTCTTCAGAAAGATGGCTTTTCATGTATGTTACTGTGCATTCCTCTTCACCCCTTCTACCCATCCATCTGAATTCTAGAATGATGAAATCCTTTGCTCTTATACCTCCAAACACGGGACTTCCTTAGTGTTTTACTTTGCTGCACAAACTTGGACAGAGAGGCCCTTCGCCGCCATGGAATGTTAGAAGTCAAGAGAGAGTTTTGGTGACGCTTTGTCAGCAAGTTTGATGGAGAAACATTCGGGTGATCTTCCCACTAGGATGCTTTCAGGCTTTCCCAGATGCTTTGCTTTTTGTTTGCCCTGTTATGTTTCAGCTTCCGCCCTTTCTGGAGCTCAGCTTTCAGTTTTGCAATACTGAAGGAAGCTTTGATACTGTTACCAATGGCTTCCAGCCTGCAAAACCAAGAAATAGACATGGTTAGAATAATCAAGATGCATCTCCACTGTGCAGACATTAAGTTTTTGATTAAACAAGCCTCAGCCTAGATTTCTGCCATGGGCCTCAGTAACTGCTGATTGCTATAACTCTGTCAGAATTACACTAACTAAAGCCACTTTAAATACTGGATTCAGAATTTAAATGCAAACACTGAAGTAAGCTAAAATATTCTAATATAGATGCTCTAGAGTTCCTTAAATAGCACATATCCAGTCAAGAGGTCTTCAGTGTTATTCTTTTTGGCTATTTTGTTTCTTTTAGGTAAACCTCTTCCTGGTTCCAATGAATGGGTGCATTTTTCAAGTAAGTAAGCAAGCAAGCAAGCTTCATTTTAAAAAATGGTTTAAGATTTCCAGGGCCTAAGTCTCACTCAAAATCATCAGGCTGACTGCTCCCATACTTGTTCTGCTTGTGAAAATAGCACTAGAGTCTTCTTTTGTATGGGAAAACTTCTGTATACCATACTTTTTCTACACAGGCACATGGCCTAACACCAAACGCTGGAGCCGATTTAGCTGTATTAATAGTCAGCTTCAAAGCTGACTTCACCTCTGCGGAGTTTGTAGCTGCACCAAGTTCATGCACGCGTCCCTGAACTGCACTGTGGAGTGGTATTGATGCCTCCTGCCGCTCAATTCATTATGCATGGACCTCAAAGGGCAGTCCTGAAATTTAGCCCTACTCTCAAATATTAAATTGGGCTCAAATATTAATTTAGTCTTTGTTTTCCCTTTCCTCAGCCTTTTTGCAATCATTTCCATCACTAACATCCTGTAGTCATTTTAACAGAGGTTTATTGGGCAATGTAAGAGATAAGGCAGGTAGAAATCCACCTCCTGCATTCTAAAAAGCCAGCCACACCAGTCAGGAGAAATTATATATTCAAAATCCAGACAGATCAATAATCTTCTTTATTTTCCCCTCCAGTAAAAATGGAGTAAAGTAGCTAAGAAAAAGGCATTCTGATTCAAGTTCATATCAGAATAGCTGGGACATAGTATTTTTGTGTAGTTAAGATAGTGCATGAGCACACTAAAATTACAGGTTCTATTTCTTTGAAAGAGTATGAAATACTGACAGAAAGTTTGGTGTATTAAGCCTGCTTCCTCTAAGCAAATAGAGAATGCTAGGCAGAGCTCGGCACCCATGTATTCACAAACTAAAAACCTGCTGCATGAAGAAAAGCCCTCAAGATATCCTCACTGAAACCTCTGTAACTCTTAAGCTGAAATCACCAGCTAAACCCACACTGACCCGAAGGCAGGTGAACTGTGCTCTCTATTGCTACTCTGGGGAACTACAACAGGATGAGAAGAAAACTCACCGCTTCATTTTCTTGCTGTCAACAAGCTGTCGGTTCATGCATTTAGGACCAATGCAATTACCAGCTTTGTTGCGGTGACGTGAGGTTTTCTCCATGGTGGACTGAGCCCTGTTAAAAGCAAAAAGGTGCTGCTGTTAGAGAAAGAAAAAAAAAAAGTCTGCAGTCCACAAGGTGAGGCGCCTCATCAACCACTTCTCAAGGCATGTAATAAGAGATCTTTCAGGGCCAAACCATAGTATGTATCACAGCAGTGGGAGCACTCAGGTAGGAGGCAAGGCTTTGGGGAGATTATTCACTCAGCAAGTGCCAGAATGAGTAAGTCTACCACAATCCATGCCTTTTACATGCACTGCCCTTTAAAGAGTAGCATCAATAGACGCACCAGAGATCTTTTCCCATCTGGCAGAAGTTCAGACATTTCTTGTCCTTCTGACTGGCACATCGGCATCTGCTGCTAGGTTCAGCAAGCATCTCTGGCACCATGTCCTTAAGTGATCTTCTGGATCGAGAAGGGCCTCCGAGACCATACGGAACAGTCTTCCTATGATCAAAAAGACAACATGAAAGTCATTCAAATAATTCTGTGGCTGAAAACAGCAAGGTATTTTGGCCAGTCTTATCAATGGGATTGATTGCATGAGTAAAGGCTGTGGGACTGGGAATGCCTCGTTGGTCATAGTTTCCATGAAAATGCTTCTGATGATCCTGCAACATATTCATTAGCACAGCTACTGACAAAGCTAATGACCTTTTAATTGTGATTTCATAAAGCTGCTGTGCCTCCCTGTACGATAGAAAGCAATAAAACCTCATCTCTTTGAACTTTGGCAACAGAGAAAGAAGCAATAAAAGTGAGGAACAGATCCTCTCAGCTCCAAGGAAACCCAGCAGCAGAACAAATCACAAAGTCAGTGTTTGTAGCATTAGGTGAGGCTCTGGCTCACTACTTTTTTGGTGAGGAGAACGTTGAAATGGACCCTGTGTATAACCCTATTAACACATGGGATGCATTAATTTGCAGCAGAGAGCAGCAAGAGGCAGCGAGGAGCCACCCCGTGTCAAAGTAAGCCTTCCAGCCTCCTAACTTGTTGGAAAGAAAAAGTCAGACAAAATCAGGCTGGCAAAATCGTGGTTTTGGCATTTTGTCTGCTCCTGATTCATAGTGAAAAGTATCCCACAGCCTTTGCTGAGCAGCTCCCAAAGGAAATACTCCTGCCCAGACTTTAGGAACGCAGGTGCATTAGGAGCTATCTGCTCAGTCTAGGTAACCAAACCCTGCTTGCTTTCTCCTAGTGAACACTCTCGCTGGTGTACTCGGCAGAAAGGCAATAGGAGAGGCTGTGCAAATAACTATTCCTTCCTCCCCGTCCCACTTCTGCAGGGTGGACTGCCGTTCTTAATTTTTCCCCTTCTATCCCCTCCTTCTCCTTTTTCCAACCAAAGCGGAACCCAGCGCTCGGCACCTGCCGAAGCCCCCCCCCCGG